AGTATTTTCTCCAAATTAAAATTATTTTTATTAATTTATTTTTTTTATTAAAACTATAATGTTTTCTTAAATAAGTTAAATAAAAATGCATTTTGTATGCAATTAGTCACACCATCTGGCTTGACAAAGTAATTCATATAAAACTGACTGAGTAACCCTTGTAATACTAACTGCGGATTATTACCTGCATTACTTTGTCCACACCATCTGGCCGGACAAAGTAATGCCTATAAAACCGACTGAGTAACCCTTGTAATACTAACTGGGGATTATTACCTGCATTACTTTGTCCACACCATCTGGCCGGACAAAGTAATGCCTATAAAACGGACAAAGTAATGCCTATAAAACTTACTGAGTAACCTTGTAATACTAACAAGAAGATGTTCGGTGTAATAATATATTTCTCCCTCCATTTTCTTTTATTTGTATCACTTAATCGGCACATTTACCGAGATGCAACTTTGACCATTAATATCTTTAATTGTTAGTTAGTAAAAAATTTAACAAAATTATATTATTGAACTAGACATTATGACGAATCTAATGATATATTTTTTTTGGTGTTACACCCTTTGGGCTAATTTGGATTCGGGGATCAGTTCTGGGTGGTTAGGTTCCAGTCCTCTCCCGATTGTTGTTGCGGGGGATCGAACACGAGTCCTCCCTACCAAGTGTAGTCTCAATCACCAATACACCAACAACCAATTGGTCGAATCTAATGATATATAATATAATAACATTTATTTATTTAATAGAGATGAAAAAATCAAGTCAGCCTTGGAATGTGAATAGTGCAAAAATCAAAGGGATGCATTTTAAAAAGGCAAAAGCTAACAGGCGTTAGATAAGAGAATTAAAAGTGGAAATATTAGAGTAAAACTAACATTAATTACACCGAACAACGCGTGATTTTGTCATGCATTCCTAACTTAATACTCTTTCAACCAATAAAATTTTTCCTTAACTGGAGGGAGTATTTTATAAAATACCAATTCAAAACGCTACTACATTTTAATTTGATTCGTTTGAAATGGCCAGTCCATTCTTCTCAAATTAAATTGACGTCAAATCTAAAAAACAATGAGTTATATTCTATTTTTGATAGGGATAATATTCATGATTTCATGTTTAAAAAAAAAAAAATAATATTTGTTATTAGAGCATCAACACTCGTGGTACAATTTTATACCACGGTGTAAAAACTCATAAAAAACAGACAATTTTTACTACATTGGTGGTATAAAACTATATCATTTGATGGTATATATCATCCCATGGTAAATACTACCTACGTTAACTATTATTTGCAACAGAGGGGTATTATTTGTGAGATATAAAATAATCTTTTGTTGCAAATAATAGTTAACGGAGGTACTAATTGCTTTGGTCCCCTGAAACATGAACCAACCAAGTCACGCCATGTGGGCTACTTATCATGTAATTTTTTTTTTCAATTGCATTTTATGAAAAATTATAAAGTAAAAAATTATGAAAAAATACCACTGTTCATAATTTTTCAAGACCTACACATAGACACCCATATTGATATAGTTTTATATATTTTTTCGAATTCACTTTTTACTACATAAATTGTTTATTTTATTTTATTTTATTTTATTTAATTAACTTTACAAACATTAATTAGTTATTTCCAATAATAAAATGAAATATAATTATAATTAAATTAAGTGTATTATTAATACAAATAGGAGAGAAAAAATGTGGTGGTATATTGTATTGTGGTATAGATGATGTGGATGAGTGAGAAAGTGGTAGAGTAAGAGGGATGATATAAACTTTTATACCATGAATGATGATGGTCTTATATGCTCTATCGTAGTACTCTACTATTTTGTACGAAGTACATATCAATTGTCTAAACAAATACTTACAGTGATACACTGATACATACATTAGTTGACATAAACATAACAATATTGGAAAAAGAAGCTTAACAGAAAGATTATTTTTAAGCAGAAATTAAAATTTATACGTTTTTACTAATGAGAAATTGAACACGTATTTATTTACGTGCCAACAATATATTATCTAGATCGAAAACCAAACTTATAATTTACTATCACTCTAGGCATATAAGTATATAACTTACATAGCAAATATAATTTTTAAATCTGATTTGATAACTCTAAATACAAAAGTTTGATTTCTAGACTATTTCCTTGGAAGATATAGGCAACTAGCCAAGGCAAACATTTTACACTTACGGTTACTCTTTAGAAACTTGATCGAAGAACAGTGAAAATGCCACTTGAACTAAACCATTGAACAACAAACACGCTGCTTGAAATCGCGTTTTTAATTACTATGACTCTATACATGGAGTATAACAAATTTACATGCAATTTCAAAAGTCATTACATAACATAGAAAAGTAGCGGAATTTTCTGATAAAGTTAGTTTGCATGGAATTTAGAGTCAAAATTGATATGCTACGAAGTATTAGCTAAAATAAATGTTACCAAATCATGTCAAAAATATATACTCCTTGTAATAAACTTTAATGAATAAACTATAATTTCAAAATTTGAGCAAACATTTACACATAGGAAAATTGCTTGAAAATTCAAGTAAACTTACTCGAAAATTGATTACCTCTCTTACAATTTGGATTACCATCTAATATGTTGAACCTTCAGCTTCAAGCCATAATCACCATAAATCCATAATCATAATCAAGGTTTAATACTTCCATTACCAAGTTTCATCCCAAACCCGAGTTTAATGTTTTCCAGCTAAACATGGCACGAAGATACAACGCCAAGGATTCAAATGGTTCATCACCAAAGAGGGGTGGTGTACTCTGGGGGATCATCTGTTGCTTCTGCGGCGAACAAGACTAACACAACATATACATCATCCATGCTTATGCATACTATATGCTAATATGCAATGTGAAGCTCCTAATTATTCTTGAATGTTTGGTTTATCTCTAGGAATATACTTGTGGTTCATATTACTAATGTATGTATCAAATGTCTAATTATGATGGGTCCAATTTTTATCCTATTGTCCCTGTTTCAACAGAGCATATGGGATAATATTGGATCCAATCACATTCTTCTATACTTATTTTTATTTGTTCATGTTTTTGAATTCATAGTACATTTTGTCTCTATTGTCTTTTTTATTTGATTATATAAATAAATGACAGTTGTTTGAAATGATTGGTATATTTGAATGAAAGTTGTTTTTTATAATCTGTTTTTTAGTTTGATTATTTATGTTTGTCCATTTAATTATTTTTTTACAACCACTATAACGGTTTAAATTATGCTAAAATCACTTTTAATTCCTTATTCTGCATGTATCATTTATTTATGATCAGATTCTGTGGGCTTGAAGCAGCAAGTCTGCTGAAGATTTTGGTGTAGCATGTGAATTTATTTTTCATCCTCGTACTAATTTCAGGACTGTATTTATTTTTGTTTGGATCGCGATCATTCTATAATAGTGAACAATAGATTATACTTCGTATGTCTATATTTGTAGCTATTGCATACTTGGTATATCAACTACCCCATAATTTTTCTTCTTCACAAGACTTCCTTTTCAACTTTTTCTTTTTTGAAAGACTCCTTTTCAACTTTTAAATACAGTGATATATACTAAATATGTAAATAAACTCCAAAAACTGAGTTGACAACCTATCAAACTTGGTGTAAAACAGTAAAAGTAATATCCACATTATTCCCAATTAATCCAATCAGAAGTCTAGCAATATCATCTGAGAAAACCAGTACTAAGATACATACATGGACCTTTAATGAACATCTGTGCACTCGAACATTGTCTGACAGTGAAAATTTAAGCATTAGATAAATAGATAGTCCCCTAGCTTCTTATGTAGAACATAACTCAGCAATAAAAACCCGAAACTTCCTGATTCGGGTTTCCCAAGACACATAACCTTGCTGCAGTTGTTAAGAAGGTAGTTTGATGAGAGACCAAAGACAAGCGCTTTTGAGCAATTGGCTAGTTTGCACTGCTGAACTGACTGCTTGTTACAAAGCATCATTCCTGTTCTTACAGATTTGATGTTCTCAATTTAAATGAATCCAAGAAGTCTTAACAAGTTAACCAATCTATCAGTAATATTGTCTGATGGGAAAATCACTTCATTGGCATAGATCATATCTAATTACTTATGATCAGTTATTCAGATAGGGTGTCATACCATACAAAAGAAATTCATAATATACAAATAATTCAATATTTACTCACACTTAGGCCCCAACCTATGCCTCGTTTCAATGTCTATGGTAATACTTGTCCTATCACGGGTATCAGCTTATGCATCATCTCAATGTCTATGGTAATACTTGTCCTACAACAAGTATCTCTATTTCTTAATCATCCATACTTATCATACCTCTCAAATGGTAGTGGAGGATGAAAAATATGAAAAAAACACATGGTTGAGGATGAAATTGCATTAGCTTACAATATATAAGTACTCCTTATATCCCCAATTGTTTGGCCATAGAAATATTTCACTTTATTAGATTTTGGTTGAGTGGAATTGATGAAGAGAAAAGTGGTGGGACCTAAAGTATTGTTGTGATACTAAGTGTTGGTCCCAAGTCACATTAATAGCATGGATCAATCTTTAAGAGACGGCTTAAAAAGAAATTTGGGGCAAACAAAAAGGGACAAAGGGAATATCAAACATCAGTAGAAAATCAGGGTCTATGCCTCCTGGCAAAGAGTACAGATTGCAGGCCAAAGAGAAACCTTGTACATGTCTTAAAATTCAGCGACTCTTAACAGATTTCTTGGCATCCAGTCCTTTCTTTTCTTTTAGGGTCTTCTCTACCAAGGTGCTGTTTCCCTTAATCAGAAAACAGCTTCATCTCTTACACGCAAAACTATCCAGTTCACATACCTTCCTGAGAACTTACTTTGTATTGCATTATGACTAATATGCAGGAAGATACATGTTTCTTTGGAATCAAACTTGAACAACAGAAAACCATTACTTGGAAAATAGCAGTAAAAAATTAACAGATTTACCATTTGATTACAGAAAAAGGTGTCACAATCTCTTCTTACAACAGCTTTTAGCTAGATGTCGGAAAAAAAACCTATCATCTAAATGTTTCAATACATGGAAATGGTGTGATACAAATTACAAAAAAATGACAGTTAGATCACCTACATTAATCTCACACTAAAGCCACTAGATCCATCTCATTTCATCCAATGGCCAAAGTATTAGAGAGTCTTCTACAAGCTACCAGTCAAAAATATACAACCCTTGAAGCAAAGCCATGACAGATCTTAAAATCAGCTAACTTGCAGTCTTATCTCACAATAGCGAAGACAGCTCGCCAAAAGTGTGCAAGCACAGGAAATGGCCACTTTTGCATTTAAGCCCCTAAATTACAACATGAATACAAAAAAAAAAAAAAAAGAAAAATTATCCTCATGCCTTTGACATCTTTCATAGTTTAACTCAATCCCTCTTGCACAGTAGATTCTTCATCATTAAGTGTTCTAGCAGCTGATAAAAGCATATCCATTCCTCCAGATCCACCCGCTGGATCCTCAAATTTCAGTTTGGATTTCTTAGAGGAATCGTCAGTAACCCTTTTCCCTTCATCTTTCAATTGTTTCCGTTCTAGATCCTCATACAACTTTTTGACTTTGCGTACTGCCTTTATCCCTACATCACATTTTGGGCAAAACCACTTGCCCCTGGGAATTGATGTACGCGGAGGATCCATACAATAGATATGGTAGCCATGATCACATCCATCACACATCACAATATTATCATCATCCTTGTCAACAAGACAAACCCTACATAGACAAGAAGGGCAATACCAACGAGGACCATACGTTTTTAACTCTTTGTTTGTCAAGCACCTTGTATGATAGTACTTGTATTCGCAACCACTATGTTCACACACACGGAACTCTTCACCATTATTTAGTATGCTTCCACATATTTTACAAGGCAATCGTTTGTTTCCTTTGAACACTTGAGGTCCAGTTCCTATGATATCATCTGAACTTTCTTTAACATCATCCAGTGCTTCTTCAGACAATGGAATGGCATCAAGTCCACTGATACCAGAATTAGCAATTAATCTCTCACAAACAACACAATCTTCATGAGGAGATGCCATACCACTAGCAGTGCAATTGGCACAATACCAACTTTTGTGTGGAATTTCCTTCACAGCAGGCTTGATACAGGAAACATGGAACATTGCTTCACATGAATCACACACAAGGCAATCTCTTCCATCTGACCTCTCTCCACACTGTCTACATGTACAAAACACAGAAGCATCTAACTCCTCCTGCTTGATTTGCACATCATAATCCCGGCCATTTAACTGTTCACATTAAGTAGTGCTTAGGTGTATGCAAAAGACTAAAGGATTGACCAATAAACACTATTTTTTTGAAGCAATGTCTAATAAAGCCTCTCAAAATTACTTTTCGTTGACAATGGCTAAACAATCTACCAATCACAAAAACTTGAAGCTCATTTGAAATGTAAGAGTCAGTTTGTCACCACGATTAGAAGACATTTGAAATGTAACATACTTCCACTAAACATGTGAATAATTTGTCTTATGATGTTAATTTGACCTTTTTTTTTAAGTACAGGTGGTTTTCCTTCACATTAATTTAGATAAATGTACTCTCATCTTCAAAGATTTTGTCAGTATATAACATAAGTTATTCTATACATTGAATCATTAACAAACACGTTTTCAAGTTGATTAGACAGCACAGATGCAGTTTAGAAGGAGCCAAGGAGGTTACAATATTGGTGGAGGTGGCAATAAAATGATTATGTTTTTCGCCTTAAGATAACCATTGAGTTGGTAGCATTGCTAAAAAAAAAGGTGGTTATTTCCATAACTCAGCATTATTTGATAGTTCCCCACAAAATTTCCTGTTTAGTTTTATGCCCATTTAGACAACATTTATTTAAAACAAAGATCAAATGAACCCCAAACTTTAACTCTTTCAGCTAAACAAGTGCCTTTGTAGGACTACCTCAGTCTAACAGGTTCATCTCTAAATAACATTGATCATTAATACTCAAGAAATGCCAAAATGGTTAAAAACTAGATCCACTCAACAGATATAGCAGTCAACGTTTAAGCTCTAACAGATACACCAACAAGTGCAGAAGTTGAATAAATTATTTACCTCTTGTCCTTTGTAACTTGAGTTATCAAGTACAGCAGCTCCTCCCTGTCAAAATATTATTATTTGAATAAGGATGCATGATTGATGCAATAAATATCAAACAGTGGACTGTGAAGAGTAGCAAAGATTTATGCCAGGTATAGAAATAATCCCAAATTAAGACATAAGCTCTCACCAGGTCACGACAGCAGGCTCTTGACAGCTCTGACATATTATTTGAAAGGGAAACCATTTCATTGCCAATTGTCCGAAGCTTTCTCCATATCTGCGGACAAGTGAGAGATGGAATAGTGACATTTTTGCATATAATCAAAACAAATTTAACAATTAAGCCAGACTTATGTCATCCTCAAATCCTCGATACTTAACTTGCCATTTTCTTTGACCAATGCAAATAAGATAGCAAAAACACACTGAAAACTCATATTTCGCAAATTATTATAAGTAGTGGTTTCGTACATACACATGAAACATTTAATTGAATAGCAAAGCAACATATTTAAAGGTCAAAGAGTCTTAAATCATGGTCAGACCTCAAGCAGAAATCTAAACAATTCCTTTTGCTATCTGGTATACAGATTAAGCAATCCTATTCTGTTCTCTAAATTTTCTTTAGAGTTGGTTGGCAGACAATGGTAAAAAAAAAAAAAATTAAATAAAAACAACAGAGAAGGAATCAAGTGGCCTTTCAGTATTCAGTACTGAACATTTTATGGAATTTGATAGGATAGAAAGTGATTGGAAAAGATGGTGTAATTTGTTCCACTTTACACTCCTCCCATAAATGAAATAATTGGGGTTGAAAGATAAATTAAAAAGCTGTCTACTTTATTTTGCTCATTTTTACTTTCTATCTATCCCACTGGTAATATCTCCCTTCAAAATTAAACTGCAACCCTCCCCTTTTAGCTATCTCCCACTGCAGCCTTTATTTTATTTTTTTTAACTTTGCTTTTCTCTACATGAAAATATTAAGCCATAAAAACTGCAAAACCATTCTGCTTATGCATAAAAAAGACGAAAGAATTGTCAGAAAATATCAACTAGCTGTATGCATTTAACAATTATTTAAGAAACTTGTAAAAAAAAACCTTGTTTCTCCAATATTGGAAAACAGCAAAACAAAGGTGTGTGTTCATTTGAATTAATGTTTTCTTTATATAGATGATTTGAAAATAGGGTATCATATGAAATGAGTGGCAGGGAATAAAGAGTTAGTTTCAGTCATTAGTTTTCAAAGGAAAAAGTTACCAACACATAGCTTTCTTTATGATGACTAATCACGTAATTTGTGAACTTCGATAGACATTCAGGTGTATAAAGAACACGTCGTTTCATAGTGTAGATATAAATAACGAGGGTGGGCTTGTTTCTCTAGACTAATGAGTTCATCACTGTTAAAATTAAATTCAAGGCTTGCTTTCTACAATGAAACCAAAGCAAAAACCACTGTCACAGAATCTAGAAGAAAACTGGCAGAATAAAGTACCTGCTGGATATCTGACGAGAACAGCATAGGTGTTTGTTCATATGCACCTTCTTTTATCCTTGAATTAATAAGACTAAAGTCCAAAACTTTTTCAATTTTCAGCCCATGAAGATTTTCAGTAAGCATCTTGCACAGTGAAGCAAACTTTCCTGACATCACAAGTCTGAGGAAAGCACGTTCACACTGCCTAGTCACATTTACTTGATCGCTATCACTTGAAACTCCATTAGATATCACAGATGAAAATCCTTTAGCTTCAGTTGAAGCTCCATTAGATTGCCCAGCTCTCGGTAAATGGGCATGGCTATCACGATGGTCAACTGTTTCCTGCATAAAGAAAAAAAGGAGAACTTGAGGTGATAAAATAGTAACATGTAACAATAAACTATATAAGCAATGCCAACTACCCAGAGTGGTAAACCACAACCTACTATTTACCCTATGATTATCATCAGACACCTTCCTAGAGAACGTTGAAGGAGCTTAAATGTATACAGGCATGAGCTAAAAGTGAATAAAAAGACAAAGCTAGAAATGCAAACAAGCAACCTGAGGAAAGAAAATGGAGTTTGGCAACATACCTTGGCAATGTTTGCATGACTACTTCCAGGATTACTAAGAAGTGCCTCTCTGATGCAGTTTGATATTCCACCACCTCCACCCTCAGTGGGACAGAGTGATTGACAGATATTTTCCAAAGCATTTCTCCAATGTTGATAAGAACAACCATCTGAACCATTCAGAATAGATTGACAGTTTATCTTGGGGTCACACACTTGAGCACAAGATTTTTTTTGTAAATCTATGTCCACTAATTCTTTTACCATCTGCAGAGAACAAGATTAAAATAAATAAATAAATACATAGTAGTAAGAAGCATATTGACTTAGTTATACCAGCAATAGATTCAACTATGTCCACTAATTCGTTTACCATCAGCACACCAGGTAAGGAAAATACATAGTAGTAAGAGACATGGACTAAGTTTTAAAAGCAATAAATTCATTAATGTCAATAAATGACCAAATGAAAAGGCTGAGCTCAATTCACAATAGCTATACATGTGATGATGGGAAATGTAAAATTGCTGAAAATAACCACTACTAGAAGTACAAGTCAATCCTTGAATGGGCCCATCAACAGAAAAAACATAGCACAGAAACGCGAAGGAGTATCAATGACCAGACTCTGGCTAAAAACATTTGCCCCTTTTAAAATGTTACTTCTAAATACATTGCTTCCCCACACAAAAATATATGTACACTTTGACGAGACTTCTTGTAGATTTCTTTTCGGTAGCTTCTCATGCCATGTTGTCATATAACCTCATGCTCTCATGCCTCAACGATTACCAATAATAAAACAAAAAACAAGAGGAAAATGTTTGCATGAATTAGATTACTACTCCTGCAGTCACAATTTAAAATCAGGATTGGACTTCCTACATTCCAATCTTTGTACAAAGGAGTAGGCACAACTTAGAGATACAAATTACAAAGTGGGCAATATGTTGCCATTTCTCCATTCTCATGCGGGCGGGGGGAATTACTCATTAATAACTAGATAAACTTATCCTTTCCATTCTTGGGGACAACCGCATCCTTACATCTCTACTTGTCACCTACCCTTCTCTTATTAATTCTCTCAAGGAAAAATATTATTTATCCCTGCATATTTTGTTCTATCTTCCAGGTCCTCTCCTATCAATGTCTTTGGTGCTTCCACACCAAATCATTTTTAATCTTCTCATGGGTCATATCTTTTGAACTTCATGATTCATTATTATCTGTTTCTTTAGATTCATCCCTTATTTTATTTTAAATGTATATGTGCCATGTTTTTTCCTTACTCTAATAGCTCACTTACCTCATCTCTCTCATCTATTTCTACAACAGGTAAAAAAAAATCTTATAGCAGCTTTAGTTTTCCAATTTTCTTTCAATACTTATCTCAAAAAAGTATTATTACCACCCCTGTTGTTCTAGACTTCTTGCATCACTACCTTTCCCCTCCCTTGCTTCTTTGAGGGTTAAACCACTTCTTTTTTTTGTCCATCGTCATTAACTTTCTTCTCCCCTCCATTTCAATCTTATGTCCACTAAACTAACACTTTCTCATTCTACATATTGTCACTTTTTGCAATGAGGGTTTAACAAGTAAGAAAAAACAATTATCACTTGTCAAAACGCCATCCGACACAGTCAACTCTTATCCCATATACTTTAAAGATTGTGATCAGACAATGTACTACGTCCATTCTTATGAAGAAACTCAACAGTAAAACAAACCAAGATTTACCAGTGATTAGATCAATTTATAAGATATCCTCAATGAAGGAATCAAAATTTCAGATCCCAGTGTCAAAATCTCCTACTCCCTCTATCCCTTATTTTTTGCAGGATTGCACCATTTGACCCAACATCTCTCACAAAAAGTGGGTCCATGGTGCAAATAAAGAGTGGGGGGGGGGGGCACAGAGGGAGTATAAATCAAGAAAAACAATTGCTATAGCCAAAATGCAATTAAAAGTATATTCTTCATAAACAACCGGAAATTCTAACATATTAAAATTTTATCCCAGATGCCAAATCACATTCCATCTTCCAGCTAAAGAAGCTGCCGGAGGTCAACTTCAGGCCTCCACACTGACAGTAATTAAAGGTCCTTCCAAGCATAACACTTCAAATAAAGAAATTATTAAGTCCTTATAGAACATGTATGAAAGTTAGAAGTCTTTAATCTGCTGGTTTGGCCGTTTAGTAGCCAAACTACTGACAAACACATTAGATAGGAGCTAAAACCAATCAACCATATCCTCTAGAGAAGATTTTTAAGCTTTTCTACACTTAAGGTGTGCCTCCCTGCCTCGCCTAAGAAAGGTGTGTCCTCTGCCTTACATCTCATTCCTTTTAAAACTAAGACTAGGATAAAGAAAATTAGTATTCTGAACTAAAGAATGCTTCTATCCTAACATTACATCTGAAAAACTATGCAAGAGACACAAATTTGACAGAGCAGATTCTAGGAGCTAAGCTGCTCAATTGCAGCAGATAAGCTGGTGTCCTTGGCATCATGCTAATTCTTGTCCAGGGATCAGGGTCCTCAAAAGTTTTGGCACAACAAAGTTTTCTCAGCCTGACACTCTTTGCTATTATCAATGCTAGAACAGGACCCTGTTGAATTCCCATTATTGCTCAAGTAGTCAAGTACATGCCAACCTTTTTTTTTCTGCTCTATAAACAATAAGCGTTGGATAACAACAATTTTATGGATGGCTTCAAGTACTAAGAAAGTTTTTCTATGACATGCTTTCCACAGGGTTTAAACAACATAATTTTAAGTGGCATTGGCACAAGTCAATAACTTGACTTGTAAACATAATATCACACATAAGTACATAACCTCCAAACCCTATTCTCAAAGGAAAATTTATAACAACAAAAGCGCATACAGCCGATGACAGGTCTATATAAAGCTCCACTCGCATACCTAGTACAAATTGGTGTTTTCATCCCACTCAATTACAAGACCAACTTCCATCCAAGCTCTACGATTCAAAAAACATTACAAATCCGGCATACATGTCAACCCAGCTTGATTTGCACGAAATCCCGATTAAAGAAAAACCTTTTTAGAGAAGTAAAACCAAGACATTTTAATGACACCTAAATGGTTTAGCATTCACTGGACACAATTTCAAAGTCAATGAACTCATTCTAATTAGCTGAAGAATAACACATTACTCAATTCGGCAAATTTAACCACATCATTCAAACAGCGCAAATCAATCAAATCTCATCGAAACACGAAAACAGCTTAATGCCAATACAAGAACATAAATCAATGGGTAAGAAAAAAAAAAGAACCTTATCATCCAATTGAGCAGAAGTAGCACAAGGGATCTTCTCCAAATCAACAACCTTGCAATTCGAATTCGACGCCCCACATTTTCGACGCTTGTAAGTCCGAAGCGAACTCCCTTCTCCACTACCACCACTACTACTTGAACAACCATGCAAAAAACCATTCACCTTATTACTACCATTACTATTACCATGAACACTACCATTCCCATTACCATTCGTTTCAATCACCATATCTTCAAAACCGCCACAAATTTAGGGTTTACAACAACCCCAAATTCAATTCAATCCCACCAACTTCAAAAACACTCCACAACCAAACAAAAATCAAAAACCTCCCCAAAACTCACCAAGATCTTGCGACATAACCCCTTGAACAATCTCTAAACCCACTTAATTCAAACATTGAAAAATCAATCGATTCACAGAACAATCCCAGAAAGAAGCAATTCGGAATTGCAGAGTAGAAGAAGTGAAGTAGAAACCCTAGAAAGTGGAAATCGGCGACGGAACCCTAGAAAGAGGCGGTAGAGAAGGTGGTGGTGCCGCTGAATTGAGGAGAGAGAAATAAGAGAGAGAGAGAGGGTGGTTTGGCTTATCTTTTGGTATTTGAATTTTAAAATGTGTTGTGAAAAATTATAGAGCGCTTCAAATTCTTTGGTGCTAATACTATTTTTGGAGGGATTTGGGGTGTTTAATTTTGTGTGATTTTATTAATTGATTTGGGAAAGGTGGCTACTGGCTAGTGACGAAAGTGAAGAGAAGGGAGTCAAGATTATGGTATATGTACTTTTCCGCTTGGCTAGGCCCTAGGGCTATTTATGAATTGATTGAATCCTAAGGAGAAAGTAAATTATTACAGTACATCAAAATAATTCTACATTTATTTATGGTAATACGTTTACTCGTGAGTTTAACTTGTCGTAATAGCTTTGTTGTACTTTATTTGTGGTTTAGTGACTTTATTATTTAACGGCTTTTGTTATGAGAGATAGGATAAGGATAAAAAGATAATGAGTGTGAAGCTAATACTCCTGCTCCTTATACCATATTTGCTAATTTGTTCACTTTTTAGATTAGTGATTTATTACTTTAGATGTCGAATTGATTTTGTAAAAATCATTTGTGGATTCAATCCAACTTGTTTAAAGTTCTAAATACTTATCAGGTGATAGAAGTTAAAAATTAAGAGTATCTTTTACATGTATGGGACAACCACCAACATATCCAAAACATGTTGGGTGCTCTGCTTTAGTGTGATTGACGAAGGCTAGGTTTGGAAATATCCAAAACAGCTAAAAAAAAGAGACGCTGTAAAAATTAACTAGGATACCATGCTACATACAACACAGTCGATTTAGAACAGTATTCATGTGCCCTAACTAAGTTCGGCAAGTTTTAGTTGTCACAAATTGTTGTGAGCCTTATAACCTTTGCTTGCATGCAAAAATCACCGATTATCGAAGTGGCTAATTGGCAATTGACCATAATATGTATATGCGACTATCATGTTTCTTAATCACTCCCGTACATAGGAATATATGATTGTCAATAGGGACATTGTCTCACGCTTATTTGCCCTACACATTCAAATAACAATTATCAAAACAGCAAAACTTACTTATAATCATCTCAAAACTTAGCATTTCCATAACAACCAATTCGCCAGACACGACACATTCATTGCAAACATATTTTAAGTACCTAATCCGCAAATCATAATATCAAACGCACCACTCCGACACTCTTCAACTCGCTCCCACGGGGTTTTTCTCCAAAATACCCTTATTCAATCATACTCGGGAGCCCTCCACACGGACAGATAGGATCATAGGATAGTAGGACACTTTGAAGAGAGAAACACACAGACTGTAGTAGTATGGAGGACGACAGAATGAACAGGGCACCAGGATCAAGGAAGCAGCTTTCATTGCGATGCCTGTCGTGCAGAGAAGAATACTGCTCAACAGACGCAGGAACCTGCAAAGAGTGCTACGAAGAAGCCAGCGAAACGGAAGAAGAGCTCAAGAGTGAGATTGAAGATCTCAAGGCTAAAGTTGCTTTCCTTCGCTTAGGCTCTTCTCCTCTCGACTCCCACAAACGATCTTCCTCCGTTGGCTTCTCTGACGTTGTTTTGGTCGCCTCTGATGAATTTCACTCAAACCCAGTTTCTCTTCTTGCTCATAAAGCTGTTTTGGTTAGTACCCATTTGCTTGTTTTTGGGAATTTTGTTGTTTTTGGTGATTTGCTCAATTGCCTACCAACTGTTTGATGTTTTGCCTCAATGAGTTTGGAATTCACTTTTGTTCATTTTGTAATTTGTTTGTGTTTGATTGTTAATATTAGATTGAAGCTGTTAGTTTAGGCAATTTTAGCTTTTTAAGTGTTCAATTATGGCTTTGTAAAGATCTTGTTTTAATGGGGTTTTGGGAGGTTTGAGATTTTGGCAATTTAAGGGTTTATAAGTTCTAATACTGTCACTGTTATTGTTGCTGTACTGTTATTTTTAGGGTTTCTAATGTTATTAATCTCAATTACATCTGAACTTTTGAGTCAATTTTGTGAAAGTTGTGGTGGTAGTATATAAAGCATTACTTTGCTTAAATTTGAGAAGAATTCATTGATAAGTTAAAGTTCACGGCTGATAAGCTCAAATAAGTCAGTTCAAGGATAATAAGGGCTCCGTAAGTTCAATTCATATCGACAATGAGCACAGTTTAAGGCCAATAAGTTCAGTTAAGTTTACTAATAAGTTTATACAAGTGAAAATGTGAAATTTGATTGAAGAGAACTCACCCTAAGTTATTATGGGTTTCAGGGATTACACACTACATTGCCTGTTCAGATGTTTTTTGTTTGATTTTCCTCCCTTCGATTTCTGCCTTGCTGGTAAACCTTGTTTACCAACTAAAATTTTATCACCCTCTGAGCCCTGGGTTACCATTGGTACCGTTTGTCAATCTGCTGAAGTTACTGTAACATGAAGTCGGGATTATTGATGTCAATGGCTGGCCAAAACAATAATTGTTACTTTAGCAGTGTTTTGGATTTTGCGAATACATATCATTTTGTCAATCAAGGAATGAAAGTTGATATCGATACTTCCAACTGATCTGACCTCTCTTTTTGTTTTTCTCATTAATGGTTATCCAGGCAAGTCGATCCCCAGTGTTCAAAGCTATGCTTGAGATTGAAATGGAGGAGAGTCGTAGTGGCACCATCAGCATCAGTGATGTGTCCTATGATGCCCTGCGAGCTTTTGTCAACTATTTGTACACTGCTGAAGCATGTCTTGATGAGCAATTAGCATGTGATCTCTTAGTTCTAGCTGAGAAATATGAAGTAAAACATTTGAAGATGTACTGCGAGAAGTTCTTAGTGTCCAAACTGAATGGGGACAATTCAGTTGCAAGCTACAGTTTTGCTCATCAGCATAATGCTAATCACTTGCTTCAGTCTGCTTTGTCCATGATCATTGAGGACATGGACAACTTGACCAAATCAGAAGAATACACTCATCTTGTTGAGAAGGATCCAAGGCTTGTGGTGGAAATATACGAGGCTTACCTATCGAAACAAACTAACACTGCTGCTAGAAGCGATTGATCATGTTTTAGTTGATAATGACTTGTTGGCGATGTGGATATGGATTAATTGTCTATGTAATTTGTGTAGGAAAGTTTGGATTATGACTAGGTAGTGCACATAAGGCTATTAAGCAGTAGGATTTGTATCCTGCTTTCCATTGTTTACAAATTCAATTTGTGAGTAACATTGGCAAATTTCTGAGATCATGTATGAATCTCCTGATAGAAGCTCACATTTTGTTATCTTTTTAAAGAAATCACAATTTGCATTCACTTTTTAATAATATACATTTCCACCTTACACATGATTTTTTTTTTTCATCATTATGGGTAATACGAGGAGTTTCAATTTATTTTGCTAAAATAAAGAAAATGACTTGTTATTTTGGAACAACCTAAAATAGAAATGCAACCGCAATCTCGGGAGTAAATTTGACAACTCCTGTCTATTTGGTTAGTTATTAGTTTATTACTGTGAAAAAGAGCATAAAAGTAAGCATCAAGGGTTAAAGAAAGGCTGATAGTCTAAATGCTGAACATTATAGATCAATAACATAACTACACAACAAACTTTTCTTGGTTGAATGTTTACAAGGTACTGAATTTGTTTTGCCTTGATTAAGGCTACAGTTCAGTAAGTGTAATCTTTCTATGCTCCAATCTTTGGAGGTGTGATCTCAAAATTCAAAGTATTAGTATGATACGATTATGCCTATTCAAATAAAAACTATGATACAGGTATACTACAGTGGGGTTAAGCTATGCTATATTGACCCCTAGCTCGTTAACAACAATTTATGTGATAAATTGAGGAGAGAAAAAGTTGCAAGATGTTTCAACAATTATTAGCTAAAAGGGGTTATCGTTTCTTGCTGCATCTCAAGATCTTCCAACTAGCATGAGGACCCTCGCCTGTGTCATGAAGAAAGCATACCCAGCTCATTGCAGCTGCAAGCTCTTGAAGCTCATCCAAAACAGAGATTGAGTCTCGTACATAAATTTTGCCATCTGGTCTTAGTATACGATCCATTTCAAGCATGATGGTGGATATATTGCATCTGCACAAATGGAATAGAAAAGGAACAAGAACCATTATTCTGTGTGTTTTTCCTGACTTCACCAACATTTACCAGAAAGGGGTAAAAGAATACGCCAAAAATCCTTGTAAGTAACACATGCTCTGCTAAAATTCTAACCTTTTCCTCTCAATCGAAAAGAGACCGGATGCATGCAGCAAGTCATATGTCCTTGGGTAAGTATCAAATGCCTCGCACCTAAAAAGCACAGCACAAGCATCAAAAAACATAAATCAGATATAATCAAGTTGCAATGACAATCAGAAGATGGAGTAATACATAATAGACAACATGAGCATTGATTATATAACCATGAAATTTCAAGTAGCTAAAAGTAAAGGACTTGGAAGATTTAGATTACAATAATAAGCTTTGTTAAATCAAAATTCAGGCAACATACCAGTCATGCATAACTCCAAGGAGACCACGATCATATATTACTGGCAAGGTATTGAACCCACTGACTGGGACCACATTCATAACCCAGCAATTAAGATCAAATTCGTGTAATGCAGCAGCAAACCTATCAAAAACACATTACACAAGTTGCAAAATCTGCAGACTACACCATCCAGCAATTATATGTGCAAGTTAACAGAATTAAATTTGGTGATTTTTAAGCTCTGTTTTAATACTCTGTAGATCAGAAAGTGCTATGAAGTTTTCAGAAAACAATAGAAAAGAAAAGAAATACAGAGAGGAAAATATACCCTCCAAAACCAGCCCTCATATCCATTACATTCCGTATCTTCAACTCCCTCCAGCGAAAGGCACTAATATAACTTTGTATAATTTCCTTCCAATATTTTGACTCTGCCTTCATGAGTTCCTTTCTGGCAGCGAAGGCATCCATCTGAATTGTCTGCAGTCTATCTGGGGGGTGATGTAGGCGCTCAGGCCAAGTGGACACATTAGCTCCAGATCCATTATTAGGTATCTTTGTAATGCAGGCCTTCAGGCCTACATACCTGTCAATTTTTGAGTTGAATTTATTGAGGTAGTTGCAGTCTCAAAGTAGAATAACATAACATTGACAGTGAACAGTGGAAAAGCAGAAGAAAGGATTAAATAATCAAAATCTTGCTCCATGCATCCTGGACAACTCTCCTTGTTTGTATAATATGGCACAGGAGAAGTCACAGGTTGCTTCTCCTCCACTTTCATCATATATGCAAAAATGTGAGGGTCAATAATAAAGCAAAGTTACCAAACATTGTCTGGATCATCTTTTGGGTCACAAAGTGGAGGTTGTGCTCCAGCTTCACGACTCAGGTAACAGCTGTTATTCAAAGGCTTCCTCCATATAGCAATATAACCTTCCTTTTTTATCAGTTCCCAGCAAATGCGCGATGTAAGATTCTCCATTTCTGTAGATTTGATAAGGAAAAAACAAAGGCATTCTTACCTTGAAAAGTACAGACTTCAAGAAATCTCAACTAACAACTCAAATATTGACCTCACTGAAATTTTGTTTTAAAATAAAGGGTTTCAAGTTTTCAACCACACTCAGCCTTAACAGCAGAGAGGAGAGGGGGTGCAACTTTAAGATAAGATAAAGAGAGGTACTTATGAGTTATGAGGCATGACATCTAGGTGCAACTACGTAATACAGGTACCTTTCCACTGTTCTTGCAATTTAACTTCATGCTTATAGACTGGCTGTGCTGCCCAAGCAAAATATCCTCCAGCTCTCAACATTCTATTAACTTCAAGAAGCAAGATTCCATCTGCCAAATTAATGTGCAGATTAAAACTTAAATTGAGGGGAAACCAAAAAAAACAAAAAAAAAAAAAAAAAAAAAAAGGCACTGCACAACTACAGGCATCCAATTATCAGTTCATCACAATACAAAATAAAAAACAACTGTAAACCTATTTAGCATCAAGGGCAGCCTGTCATGGTCACAGATCTCACAATTATACATTCCAAATTTAGAAACTAATCAGAGAGCATAAAATAATTGCCACATAGCTTTAATGATTTTGAAAGAAAAAAAAATCTCATATGCCTTAAGAGAGTGTCATCTCAATAATAAAAACAAAGTTTAGATGACAAAAAAAATACCATCACGTGTCCAATTTATTCTGCACCTTGAACAGTGAATCAAATCAAAAGCTTGACTTGGATACAACAGACGGTGTGTAGCAAAAACTGATACCATAGCTGGCACACCACGCTCAAGTGCAAATTGAATCTGGTTCTCATGAACATCTTTTGGAGCTATAGAAAGAGTACTAACATTACGCTGCAGCAAAAATGCACCAAAACTAGCCACCCCACAACCAATATCCAAGACAACTCTGGTATTATGGCCAAATTTTATGTCAGGAATCATCTGCAAATCCAGCACCCACCAGACGGGGTCAACAGCAGATAATTCCATATGGATAAGTAAAAACTTTACTATGTATTGACAAAACGTTCAACCTTTGAAATTTGGTCCAAGTATTGATCAGCACCATGAATAAATTGTGTGCCACCACCAGGAAACACAAATTTCTCTCCCTTAATTAATATCCAATTCTGGCCTCCTTTATCTTCAACCAGCCGTGTGTGAGGTATATTATCAAACCATACCTATTTTAGAGTAATGTTAGATGGAAGATATTCCTCAGGCCAAGAAAAAGAAGCAAACATAAAACAAAAGAACTTCCTCTGTTATTTTAATCGCAAATTCACAACGTATTCCTTTTTGAGGAGTTGCAAATATTTTGCAACATTGCATTACTCTGCTAATGGTTCTCCCTATCTACTTATCACATGGATCCCTCTATCACTCTCTCCTTCACGTTGAAGTTAAAAGGGAATGCATCAAGTACATAATAGTATCCCTTGGTAATGCTTTGTATGCTTTGGCCTCTACCCATTTCAGAATCTACTGTTGTAAAAAGGAGTATCTAGTGTGTTTACAAGGGAACACAAGGAAGTTGGGTTGATGTAACTGGACATATGTAAAATGGAGAAGAGAAAATTAGAAAATAAGGGATTCCCTTAGATGGTTTTGCTTAATGATAAATTCTCTCGAAAGAACATCTTCCAATCATTTTGTATTCCAAATTTTCAATGGCTCATCAAACTATTGACTAAACCTTCTATTATATTCTCCTTCCTAATCTTACTGATGTGGGTCAAGCATAATGTTACTAAGGCTGCAATGCAGCCAACAACATAAAACTTAAAGTACAGATTATGTGACAGCAACAATTACACGGCATTGTAACGAATGGTGCCATCAAAGGCTCTGGAATCTAATATATGCATTCTGTGACATAGCATAATATGAAAGCAGGAAACAGATACACATACACACTGAACCACTTTGAACTACTGAAATGTTTGGTAGAACCATAGAATCGCAGAGCTAGTTACTGAAATAATTCAAGTTTGTAAAATATAATTAAAGGACATGTTTAGTTAAATTGATAATTCTCATCAGATTATCGAATTTTGGATGACAGAAAATTGGATAAAATACTACACTTTAGCTAGCTTATCGTTATGAATTCATTTTAGCACCTCCCCAAACAGCTCTAAAATACGTCCTCAGTTCGACAAAACACAACGTCATCAATGCAACAAACTATAAGAGTTTAGACTAGCAACAAACTCAAATTGATCATTCTTTTCTTTTGGAGTATCAGGAGCCACTAAGGACAGTGATGTAGCCTAGACGGCGAATAACACAGGGATCACGGGATACAATCCGAGTACCTCCCGCATAGACTTTAACCAACTAAGCTAGTTTACATTCGCAACCAAATTGATCACTCAAACACCCAAACATCATAATCAAAATTAAAGAACATTAAGGAAAATCATAAATTCAACATACCTCATCACGGCTTTGAGGCCATGGAATCGGAGACCGGTACTTCGGAGGAGCAGGAACCAAACAATCCAAACCTTTCCCAATCTCAGGACAATGCCGCTCAAATTTCTCCCCTCTTTCCGTCGAATTCAAACGACGAATCACATCAACATTATCCAAACAAGGAATAAACTCCCTCATACTCTCATTACACACCTTATACTTCTCCAAAACCCTAACCCTAATTTCCTTCTTCTCATTTTCTCTCTCCTCGAATTTCCGAGTGATATTAGCAAGCATTTCATCGGAGGATAAAGGGTTGATCTTCCCGACATTGAAGGTATCAACCATGGCGCCATTTTCGTCGACAATGCCTGTTCTCTCGAGCAACGGAAATGGCGGCAATGGTGGTGAAGGAGTGAGAGCTTTGAGGGGAAAGGGGGAGGAAGAGAAGGAGAAGAAGAGGAAGAAGAGGGAGATTGAGAGGAGAGAGAAAAGAGTGATTTTGATGAAGGTTGGAGATTTGAGAAGGTCCTTCAATGGAGGTGGGTTGAAGGTGTTCGTCATCATCAGTGGACAGTGGTTTCGTTGTCCTTCAGGTGTTGATGGTGAAGTAGATTTAGTAGGTGGGTCCAGGTGAATACCTAATTGTAGGGTCCATAACTGATTAACTATAGTTTGTTAACATGTTTTTTTTTTAAAAAAATAAAAAATAAAAAACAAAAATAAAAAAAATCTATCACTTAGGCCCTGTTTTTGAGCTGTTTTGCTCTGCTTTGCTAAAATCTGCTCTGCTCTGCTTCAATCTGTTTTCGCAATTTCTTTTGTACTCCTGGAGTACCATGCACAAGGTACTCCAGGTTGTGTACCTTTTATGTTATTTCGATGTAAACTTCTTATTATTTTAATTTGTATATATGTTATTTTAAAATTAATTATATTTTATTCCGTATATTCATTCTTGTGTACTTACGAAATACAAAGTTTTTATTATTTCATGTTATTTCAAAATGTGTATTATGTTACTCAATGATGTATATGTATTTCAAGTTACAATAATATTATTACAGAAATTTGATTGTTGTATACAAATGCTACTCTATTTAGTGCATTATGCTATTCAATATAATATAACTCTATGTTATTTGGTTGAAAACTTTTTTGTTACATAACATTATATGCTATGTTCACCGGACCATATTCATCTCTTTCGATTTTATTCTCTATTTTTATTTAGCTACCTCCTCTAAAATAAGTTTAAACAAAATAATACAAGTTTTTGGCAAAATAATACAATGTTTAATAAATATAAAAAAACCTATATTAAAAAAATAACACCAAGTTTAAGCAAAATAACATCATAATTAAAAAGATCGTCATATGCTTTAAACCAAAATAACACAATTCAATGTTTTAACAAAAACAAAAAAAAAAAAACAAAAAACAAAAAACTAATTTAATATAATAAATACTAACACAGTACAATGTTTAAGCAAATAACATTATAGTCTAAGCAAAATAATATAAGGTTCAATCCAAAATAACTCATGGTTTTAACATAATAATGTGTATAGCAAGATAGTATGGTACCCAAGGAGTACCATACTCCAGGAGTACTTAAGACTAATTCGTTCTGCCCTGCCCTGCTCTGCTCTGCTCTACTTAAAATTAATACTTAATATTGAATTATTATAATAATAATAAAAATTTAATAATAATAATAAATATTTAATATTTAATAATAATAATTAATATATAATAATAATAATAAATAAATAAATAATATTTAATAATTATTAATAATAATAATAATTAATACTTAATAATAATAACAATATTTAAATATTGATATTTAATAAAAATAATAATAATAATTAATTACTAATATTTAATAATAATAATAATAAATAAATAATATTTAATAATAATAATAGTAATTATACTAATAGTAATAATAATACATTATAACTAATAATATTAATTATAATTACAATAATTGATTTTTATAATAACAATTAATATTAAGATAATAACTAATATTTAAAGATAATACTAATTATTAATTTTTAATAATAATACTAATTAAATAATATTTAATAATAATAATTATTATAATAAATATAATGATAATAATAATTAATGTTTAATAATAATTATTATTATAATAATAAATAAATACTAATAATAATTAATATTTAATAATAATAATAATAATTAATATTTAATAATAATAATAATAATTAATGTTTAATAATAATAATAATAATAATAATAATGAAATCTGCTCTGCTGAAATCTGCTCTGCTCTGCTCTGCTTTGCTCTGCTGAAATCTGCTTTGCTCTGCCCACAAGCTCAAAAGAACAAGGCCTTAACCCGCTATTTTTATAAATTCTATGCCGTGTCCTTAGTTTTTGAAATTTCTATATAATAACCCGCAAGTTCATTTATGAGGCGTTTGGTTGGAAGGATGGGAATAAGAGGGATAAGAAGGGAGGATTAAGATAGGGGATTGATTAGTGGGACATGGATAAATAATCTTTATCCCATGTTTGGTAAGTAGGAGAGAAAGAAATTAGGAATAAGTAATAAATTTATAAAAAATACTCTTACTAACTTCTATCCTTCTCCTTACTTTTTCAATTTCATTAAGGGTAATTTAGTCTTTTAAAACTCATTTTAATCCCTTCCCCTTATACCACTCCCCCTTAGTTATAGAAATGGAGGGATAAGTGGGTGATTTAATCCCTATCCCTAACCCCTTTATAATCCCCGGCCCATCCCTCTAAACAGACACTACATTCCTTCCATCCCTATTTTTTATTCTTGTCCCACCCCTTTTATCCCCCTAAACAAACACCCTCATAGTAACTAACTATACAATATCCTTACTCCAAAAAAACTATACAATATCCTTGTCCTTATCCCACCGTTAACAAATTCTTTTAGTAGGGCTGACTCTCAATTTTTTTTTAATCAATCTGCGTGTTAGACTGTTTAGTAAATGTTCCATTAAAAGTTGAAGGGCTATATTGGCTCTAAAGGGTTCAATTGAGCTCAGATTTGACAAATATGAGACGTAAATACTTCGTATTTAGTATTAAGAAATGTCTCAATTTGCGTGTTTACATTTTAATATGTAAAACGAGGTATTTAAATTTGTTTCTTTGGCAAATCTAAGTTCAATTTGGATTCCTAAGGACCTAAATAGCCCCTAAAACCTTTAATGGAACATTTTACAAAGCGCAAAAATCAATTAAAAATATTAAAAATTGGAGAGTGGGCCCCACTAACGAAATTTATTAACTGTTTGGATAACGGCAAGGTTACTATATAGCCACTAAATGAACTTGCGGGTTACTATATATATAAAAGTTTTAAAAAGTAAGGGCACATGTACATCGTAGAATTTCTAAAAGTAGCAGGTTATATTGTATAATTTCCCATTTTTTTTTTACAAGCTATACTCTGTACTTCCGTAATTTATTGCCAATATAAATTGAAAATCTTGCACAAGTTGATTCGGTTTAGGTTAGCCAGCAAGGTTTAGAACCAGAGAAATGAGTAAGGGCTTGTTTAGTTTATTTTATTTTTACTTATCTAAACTAGTAAATTTTGAGCTTTACGATAATCTATAAGGAAAAAATATCGCATGTGTTTGGTAACTACTAACTAACTTATTTGAGCAAAATTAGCTTATTTGACCAATATTAACTTACTGACTATTAAATAAGCTGATTCAAGGTGTTTAGTGGGAACCTTAATTATTTAATGAGCTTATTCCACTAAATAAGCTCTTTTTTAAAAGGAAAATTGCCCGGAATAATCCGACCTTTTGCCCGTCCGCTGAAAATAATCCCACCTTTGGATTATTTTTAAATAATCCGACCTTTATACCCAATCCGCTTAAAATGGTCCTAGGTGACCAGCAACCGGATGAAGAGGTAATTTTTTTTTAATTAGGTTTAATTTACACGTGTCACTACTTAATTTGTCCAAAATTAACAAAAACAATTTTAAAAAAAAAAGTAAAATTAATTTTTTTTTTTTTTTAAAAACCATCACCTTTCAGCACCACCATCCCCACCACTACCCAAAACCAAGAGCCCAGAACCACCGCCACTGATTTGCCGACCCAAAACCACTGCCACTGACACACCAACTCGAAACCACCTCCACTGACGCGCTTACCGGAACCCCAACCCACCCCAAAACCCCTTTCGGAAAATCGAAAACCCACGACAAATCGAAAAATCTGGGATCGGGATTGGGGTTGGGGTTGGGGAGGTCGGAGCGATTGGAAAAGGGACGGTGGACGGGGGAGGGGCTGGGATTGGGTCGGGAAAAGGATTTTCGAGGGTTAAGGGTTGCCGGTGTTTCCATTTTCGTGGGGGAGGGAGAGGATTGGTGGTTCTGGGGGAGGGGGAGTGGGGTCAGTCACGCGTCGGATCGAGGGAGGGTGGTAGGGGGCTGACTGGCCGGAGCCGCATGGCGGGGACGGCGGTGGCTTGAGTGGTATGTGGTTTCGTGAGGGAGTGAGGGGTTTAAGGGTGGTTTTGTGAGGGGTTTGAGGGTGGTTCACTACAAGAAAAATCTCTTTTCGTAGCGATTATTTCGTAGCAATTGTACATTCGCTACAATATGCAAGTATGTTTGTGAAATAATTAAGGATGTCGTATCATTTTTACAATCGCCATGATTTTCCCATATAAAATCGATACGAAAAACATAATAATACATATCCACACTATTTTTACACATTTATATAATTTTGAGAAATCGTATCATTTACAATCGCCACTGTAGGGAATAAATTCAAGCCTTTAAAATCCCACTAGCTTGAACCCCACTGTGATCATACACTAAAGTACGGTGGCGTTCAAAAGGGAAGAAGATAGAGCAAAAGAGTCGCCAACAAGTTTTGTAGGAACTTGTAAACCGTTCACGAGGTGAAGGTTACACCCCTTAACGATCCAAAAGATTGTCAACTCCATAAGGTCTAGAACCAAATAAGGGTTCGGGGATGAAGGTACAAATCCAACCTAAAAGAGATTGAACCTACCCTAATAATAGGCCTCTACTTTATTCTGATCGTATTCATCTGCGCTTTCTGATTAACATGCAATCAATAGGATTAACCCTAAACCTGTTTAATCTACGTTGGTTGAATTTAATGCACAAATAAACTATTATTGGCGATCACTTGAATTATAATCACAATTAACCCTAAACAAGATTATTAAATATCTTATTAACCGTGATTACAAGTACCAAATTCCCTTTAAACATGCATAAAAGGTGATCAAGCAATAAATATAAATAATATCAAGCAACATAATAAATAATCAATATCATGAATAATAATTATAATTGAAACAATCATCATCAAAATAACAATATTCATAATCATTATAAATTATAACAATTATAATCATAATCATGTTCATATTAATATTAAAGCACGCATAATAATAGCAAGTTCCTAGGCATGATACTAACAAAATTAATAACAAACCCTAACATGTCACTAAGCAATAAAAATCAAATCTTTAACTCTAACATGATACTAACAATCATAAATATTAGGAAGAACATAGGAAGCATCGTAGCAATCATATTTAATATTAAAATTACCCTAGACATGATACTAGGAATATCATAATAACAATGTAAACATGATTTCTACATCATAATATCAATTAAAATCAATTAAAGTACTTACTTTGATGCCTCGTACCTCTTTCTAATAACAAAATACACACGTTAGTAACTTCAAGGAAAATAATAATCAAACAATTAAATTAAATAATTGAAAGAGAGATTTGGGA